TCAAGTGTGGTTTCGTCGTCAATCCGTTCATCAGAAAATCCGGAAGCCCCAAAGTCAAGAAATCCGCCGCCTAAGCATGCCTCAGGAACCGCCAAGAAGATTGCTAGATTACAAAAGAAGTTGGGATGCGATGATAATGTTTGGATACTTCCAACCTCGATTTCTTTGAAAAAAATAAACTCCGATAAACCCATTCAGATTCTACCTAACTTGAACCGCCCTCGCAACCTCGTCACGAGTTCAGGCGGTGTCCCTCATTTTATCCTCGAACGTCATCCATTCGACATAAAACCTCCGACACATGAGTTTCAAGAACTCTCCAATGTCATTAAAACCCTCTATCAAATGGCCCAAAATAGGCCCACGAACACAATGAATACAAAACGTTTGGGCGGAGAGATGCGTATGATTGGCTTTCGTTGTGCTTCTGATAGGGGTAAAAGAGGTGGTACGTAACTTCAACTCCTTCAAATTCAAGTACACCCAAGAATTCACTGACACATTCCTGCAGGAACATATGTACGGAATGACTTAACACCTGAAGAAGAGGCTAAGGACGACCAGCTTTGGGAGAAGCTCCAATCTCACAACGATTTCCTTGCCCGCCGTATGGAATCCCTCTGTTCTAGCGCCTATCAAGAAAACCAATCCATCATGTGTGACTACGGAATCCCCAATTGGAGTCAGGAGGAATGGTCAGAAATGAGGAAGGAGGAGGATGTGGAGTATAAGTTTGCCTCAAATGTCTCAGTCACATTCGACAATTTTTACAACAAAGCTCATCAAGATGAGGGTGATCTCAACGGCTGGACCTACGGTATATTTTCATTCATAGATAGAACCACAGGTGAACCAATCCCTCCACCCCACAATAAGGAGGGACATGGATTTTTATTTCCTAGACACCCTTATCTCATTGACTTTGTACATTCGAATGGTATTGTAGAGCTAGTTTGGCAAACCACTCAGTTTGAACACCGCACAACCAAAACTCCTCCTTTTCTTCCCCAACCACATAATCGGTCCTGGACCCACTTTGGCTGCTCTTTTCAAATTAACAAAAAACTAGCTAATGTTGCTCTTGATTTAAAAGGACAAAGCCAAGAAGTCATACAAAATGCAACCTTGTGTAAAAACCAAAGATCAACTGCTAAATAGTATAATTTATTATTATATTCTCTTATTTCTGTTATTCCTCTGATTTATATATAGTCTTCCAATTGATTTCTTCTTTTTAAGTGACATGTTTCTCTGCTTTTTAACCTAGGAATCAAAATCTATCAAAGATGGTCCATGTTTATGATGATGATGCCAGATGAGGAGGGTTTGCGAAAAACTAAACAAAGAATATAGTTTGAGATATGAAATTCAACAAGTATGGCAACAGCTACTTTATAATCCATCTACACTTCATTGATGGTCATAAAAAAATCATTTCCCCAAGTTGGTACACTCAATAGAAATTTCCCTGTTTCATGTCATGTCTTATGGATTAGGAAAAAAGAAAAAAAGGGGGGGATTTGGACATGTTGAGGTTGAGAAAAAATTGGCTAATTTGATGAGCAGTGCTAGAAATACATCTCTCTTTATGTTTGTTTCATCCTGTATACTTGCCTGTAACTATTCACCTTTTACCCCCCTATGTTTGATGTTCTTTGTACTCTTGTTTTAATTTTAAAATGTCCTTGCCTCAAATAACCTTGAATCTTTGAAATTTATTTTCATGATCCACATAGTCAATCTATTAATCTAGCTATAGCTGATTATTAAGCTGCTCTCATCCCATTGTGGCTACTCAACCACCATAATCAAATACTCTTTTGTTCAAGAGTTCATATTGAACTAGAGGCCAAGGCGGCTGCGCCGCTGCCCTCCAACCCCCTTAGTTAATGGCTTACCAGCAAGGTGAGCGCGCCTGGGTACAGTCCCCCCAGCCAATCAATCTCACCCCTAGGCAAACCTGAACATTACATTTGTCAACCTGATTGTCAAACACACAATAAGAAAAATTCCACCGCAACTCATTAACAAGTAATCACGGTACCCGATCACCTTCACCTCAGTCACAACACACCACCCCCACACATTAACAAGGCAAACAAGTAACATGACCCAACACGACAGAACTTGTGCTGATAATAAATTTCAACACAATTTCTATTTATTGTGAAGACTACAAATCATATCAGAAGAGAAATACCCAGAGAGCTTAAACAAAATTATTCCCCAGTTATTTCATCCTTGCGTTGAATCTCCATATCACCACAAACAAATATCAGTTTTCCTGTAATTGAAATAGTGGAAACCCAAACAACTCACTTGTATAACGAATCTTGAATATTTTCCTATGCACAACATTAACAATTCCTTCCCTAATCCTTGGCCTGACCACAAGTAGATTCGTCACATCTGAGACCCTTGAGAGAGCGACATAAAGTTGGCCATGAGAAAAAACATCCGTCTCCAGATAAACACCTACTCTACCAAGTGTTTGCCCTTGGCTCTTATTGACCGACATAGCGTAAGCTGGAGCCACGGGAAATTGATAACGGAAAAAGGACAGGCCCGACCGACTACTTGACTTATTGTGAAGTTTTACCCGCGGTAAGGTTATTTCATTCCCAGCAAATGGACCCGACATTAACTTGCCGGCAATGAACCCCACCCCAAAGTTGACAACAACAATACGGGAGCCGTTACAAACCCCGTTTTTTATATCCATATTTCTGATGACGACAAGGGGCATGCCAATCTTGATCCTCAGTTCATGGTCCGGAAATCCTCCAATGCTTAGCTTGTTGAGACATTCTTCTGGCAAACTTCCCACGCCATCTGGATCAGGTGTGTCGATTGATTTTAAACATGCTGCTTGACCTGGCAACAAATCTATTATCTCATCATTCAGCCTTTTGACATCTCGGTTTAACGGCGCCAAGATACAACGTTCATTCAGGTAGGCAACGTTGTCAAGTTGACTTGATTCGGACCGCTTCCTCAAATTTCCGTAAACAAATTCAGTTAATACGTGACGCATTTCGTCCTTTGAGTTGCAGGCCTTGGTATTGATATGATTGAGCTTGACAATGCCGAAATCAGATTTTTGTTTTTTTCCTTCGCCGAGTAAGAGTAATGCTTTAGCAAATGATAAATTTTTGTCATTCGATGATACAGAAATTGCCTTAGCTAGCCGCATGTTTTCTGAAAGCTGGAACTGTCTGACGGATTGCCATAGTCTTGAGGATTTGATTGTCGAAGCATAAGCAGGAGGAAATTCGTTATACTTTACTACAGGGAGAATTTGACGGAAATCACCCAAGAATATAACAACCTTTCCACCAAAATCGGCCTGTGAATTACACAACCTCCTCAAAGATTTGTTAACTGCATCGATCGAGTTCTTGTGAATGGTAACAATCTCATCCCAAACAATCAACCTTGCACGTATTAACTTGTTGCCAATCACCGTGTCTTCCTCCAATGGACATTCCGCTCCAGCTGCAACGTCAATCGGTATCTTGAAAGTTGAATGAGCTGTTTGCCCCCTTGTCAATAAAAGGGCAGCTACACCCGAAGAAGCACAAATAAGTGAAGGAATCCCATCGAGGTCTGCCCAGTCTATGATAGCATTAAGCAAAAAGGTTTTTCCTGTTCCACCTGGTCCGTCGAGATAAAACATCTTCCCTTCAGTTGCGTTCAGGGAATTTTTAACTCGTTGAAAGAATAACTTTTGGGCTTTGTTAAATTTTCCGCGGTTTGTCAAAAGTCTTCGAGATACGGTGATGGGGTCTTCAACTTCGTCTTGTTCAGCGTGAAGTGACTTAAGCATTCGCCGCTGTTTTCTGGTTATCGTCAAGCCACAAGTGTCGAGGGAGCCACCCATCCCTTCAAGCAATCCTTCAAGCCTGATGATCGCCAAAACTTTCCGCTCTTGATTGTTCAACTGTCTGCTATGTCGCTTCTTCATGTCAACCCGGCTGCAGTCATCGGTAAAGCTGAGATAATGGGCTTTGAACAAGATTAATGGATCAGATGGCGGTGAATGCATACAAATCATCGCAAACATCTGCGCCAGTTGAAATCCAGAGCGAACGATGGATGCTTCGAGTAAGGCTTCATTATATAAATAATCGTTGACGAGTAAACCCAAGGCATTACATGCATCTTGGTAAGTTCTGAAAACCTCACCGTCAATAGTTTTCAAATCATTAAACGAGGCATAACCTTTCCGATGTAGGAGAAGAACACGGAGGTAAAACTTCTCCCCTGAAAGATAAGAAATCGAAAAGACTCTTCCAACAGCTGAACTCTTCTTCTTCCTAGGCGTCCAAACTTTGTCCGACTTATCCCAGCAGAAATAGGCTGGAATGTCTTCATAGAGTAATTCTCGAGCACGAACGCCATCAGCTCCCACAGCATCCACCTCATTCAACTGAAAGAGGCCTGTCAGCGTGGTTTTGTTCGCCTTGCCACTGTTAATTTGCCCGGCCAGATTATCCTCACTTTCAAAGTAAACCAGCTGTTCATCAACGTCATGAACCGACAGCCGTACCACCGGAGGAAATCTATCGGAAAGGGGATACTTGAACAACCGCCAGGCAGCTATAAACAAAAGTCAGTTAAAGTTTGATTAATAAGTATCAAAAAAACTTACCTTCAACTGCACTTATGTATCGCCCATCCACAAACGACTTAACCTCATCTTGAGAGTCAACAGCTAATGCCATCCGATCATGACCCTTCGTAATATACTTATAAAGATATTTGATAGCTGTCGTGTTAACGGGAACCTCGACATTGATGTGGCACTGAAAGTTGAGCGTGAGGTATGGGTTGTACGGAACGATTGATCCGTTGTCAAATATTGACGCGTTTTTCTTAACTCGCGCTCCATCATCTCGACGTTTGTAGACGGGGTAAGCACCGTCAACATTTACGGTCCGTTCGGCAAATGGTTTGGGAAAACCAAGCTTGCATGTTTTCCCATTCCAGCAGGGACGGCCTTTGCAAGGCCCATGGAGCATGAACTCCGAGACGAGACTGTGAAGTTTTGGTGATTTGTTGATGTCTGGGAGTTCTGCCGAAACAATTTTGTCAATTTCTTCAGGTGTAACTGGCCGGTCCTCTTCGGCGAGCGTGAGCATCAGGTGCAGATGTGGTAAACCCCTCTTCTGAAATTCAATGGTATATACGTAAGCCAGAACTTTACCAAATCTTTCCATCTTCACGAGTTGATGTATCAATTCTTTGACTTTGAGATAGAAGACTCGTGCGACAACTGTCGGATGATCAAATGCTTTATCTCCAGCTGGGATTTCGTCGAGGATTTCCTTCCATTTAGGGTTTGCCGTCATCGTGATGAATAGAGAGGGTGGGCCAGACTTCCTGCATATGGCCATTGCATCATGGTACAGTTGTTGCATACATCGAGGACTCCCAATAAACGAAGAGGGTAAGATAACGCATCTTCCACTAATTGGCGATTGATTTTCAAGGGAGTTAATCAAACGTCTATAGTTGGCCGCTTTGAGCTTGCCTTGATTGTTTGTGACGAATGAGAGCCGTTGCCGCTCAACGCAAACATACATGTCGACGAGTAGTTCTTGTGTTAGTGATCTGCCCGCTAGGATTGGCGAGAACCGCTTTCGACGCCGAAACAAGAGGTAGGCGAACCATTCCAACGAACCTACCCGCCTATTTTGGACTGGGGAGTTATGATATCAGATGCAATCTATCAACATAAAGGATAAAAGCTCACCTCTTCCGGTCCATGCAGCATACAGGTTGTCCCATTGCTGCTGTCCATATGGAAAGAAAATTGGATAACGCAAAGGAAAATACAACGAATGCATGTCTGAGATCTCTTCTAAGCTTTGGTCTTTCCGGTGGAGTACAATTTGGCGTTCGCCAATAATGTCACCATCGCCCTGCACAACGATTCCAACCTCGTCTACTGTTGGGCAGTTGTAGCGTTTCGGATCCGCTCCTGCCAGCGGAACACCTTGCAAGCTTATGGTTTTCGCCCGTGACTTTGAGAGGACATCTAGTGCGGTACGGAAGCGTTTAGCATACGGGTTAATCTGACCCATAAGGTGGACCAACATCATTATTGTTCCTCGTTTCATTGTTGATCTCTTCATGTTATCACGGCTTCGACCTAACGCACACGTTAGCCGATATTCAGCCTCTTCTACTCCATTGTTTCCAACCACATAAATTTGAGAAAAGCCGGGTGAGTCGTCGGTTGGTTCAATACTCGATATGCGATGCGAGAGGGCACCTGATATCTTGAAAATATTTACGCCCATTGGTCCTTGAACCGAGTGGTCAACCTTTGCGCCTAGGGACGTGAATGATATCGCGTTATTATACATCCGTGTCATTTTTTGGAAGTTGAGAGCATCTAAGAATAATAAGTTTATCAGCTCATGATAACAAATTTCATATGTACTCTTACCTTCATTTTTACCGATTAACAACTTTTTCAACTGGGATGGATATCTTGGTGCATCGTCTTCAAAATCTGGCAGGTGAACTTTATTCTTTTGGCAGCAAGTCGAGTATGACTTCGTCCTCTTCAGTCGATCTAGGAGAGTTGCCTCATCTTTCCAATGGAGCGCACCGCAAGAATCACATATGTTGTCGCATCGTCCGAGCTTGTGTGGGACAGAGTAATCGCTAGTGTTAGTAAGATTTGATTCAAATTCTGGAGCTGTGCTGTTGAGGATCTTGGCCCGTGAGTTGATCATCCTGACTATTATTATACTTCGAGAAATAATTACTTCTGACTATTATTATACTTCGAGAAATAATTACTTCAGTAAGGTTATTATGCTCATGCGTCAAACCCCGCACTTATTATTTTCGCGACTCCCCGAGTGGACCCGAATGAAAACTTCAAACTTGTCGATGTGAGGATCACCTCAACCAAAAGTCACACTATCACATCCGTGAGGTAAGTCAATCTGCCCTTCACTAAGAGGATTCTGCATTCAACAAACAAGAGCTTTATCAAATGATAAGTCAAAGGGATGTCAATCTTATTCCTCCACAATTTTATTCAAAAGTTTCACATTCATCTAGACACATTACATTTGTTTGACTTGATGTAGAAAGGAAAACATTTTCTCCCAAGCAAAAATTGATTATTGCAAGCAATTACAAATCATACTCATCAGGAAAAATTATGTTGCAGGGAATGGGAGGCCGTAGTCCAAAGATGGCCAAGTTAAAGATCCTCGCCATTTGCAATATTCAGTTATTCAACCTGGGAAGTTCAAGTGGTTAACTTCAGCAAATAAGAAAGACAAAAGTTTGCTTACGGTTAAAATCAAAACCCCTGTTTCTATTTCTTCTCCGATGAAAAAACCACAAAACTCAACAAACTCTCCGACTAATCCCTCAAAATTCGGACTCAGTTTAAGTGAACTTGTATGGAGGATTAAAAGAACCTGAATACAAGAAGACAAATCCTAGGATGGGAATTAAAATGGATAAAACTTTCCAAATTACAAACTAAAAGACTTACTGTTGGCTGATGGTTAATCATCACATGATGATATTGCAAGTGATCTCGACCCGAATCAATAACTTTCATCACTGACTTTACTTGCCCGCAACCGGTAACTTGGAAACCATCAGTTGTAGGCGTTTCCTCTGAAGTTCCACAGTGACCCACAAGTAGAGGGTTGAACTCCCAACCAGTTCCGCATGCATCGTCCCGTGTGATTAGCCCACGGATACGGTATGTTGAACCCACTGTTAAACTATAGCCAGCACCATCGAGACAGGGAGCAACTATTGTTTCAATGATCTTGTCGTCCTCCATGTATACAGCGAGTTCGACATGGTGGGGACTCGACCATGGCGAAAAAAGGACCTTGTATACATTATAGGCTCCTCGGTCAAAGTCCCATGACTTGATCTACGACTTGCGAGAAGATTAATGGATGATGAAAAAAAATAGGTTTATACGTTCTTTGAGACTTACCTGATCATTTAACGTACAACGACCCGAAAAGGACAATTCGCAATTTTGATTGAGAGACCTCCTTGTTACAACAAAGCTGCCATCTCGAGAACCGTGCCCATGAACCTGAGTCGAGTGTTGCATTTAATTCGAGTCGGTGAGGTGTGTCAAAGCCAACTGAAAGTAAGTAAGAGTCGAATGGAGGGTGTGGGGATTATAGGTTGAAGTGACAACCTCATTATATAACATTTCTGTTGTCACAACGCGTACCTTCTTCATACCTGGTCGATTGTGGGGTTATTCGTGACCGAGCTGATGATTGGTTGAACCAGGTGGTGTGTTTTCTTCACCATGGCGAATGATTGTGACTGAAGGTAACCATATGCGACGCTAGGCCGTAACCATAATAATCGGTTTCCAAACTTGCCCAAATGACGAATAATAGCCTAATACCACAATACAAATACGACTGTGAATGGCCTGGAGCCATCAATACCATGAGGACCAGTGTTCTCTATATTGGGGTGGGAGCATTCACCTTAATTGTCGTGTTGCAAAGCCCAACTATGCGCTAAAAATTACATGACGCGACGGATCGCGCCATCGAGTTGGCAAGATGACCCTAAAGATAAATTACTCATGTGGTGCATATTTTTCAGGCCTTAAATAAAAATATTTTGATTACATCAAGCCCCATGCTTAACGGCCAACTTACGACTTGTCATTACTGTTCATTATAGAGTGTTTAGCTGGAAGAAGATCTTTACGGCATGGAAAGAGAGAGGCACCTCGGTTAATCTGATGATGAATAGAGTTGCATGTTAGTATGAGAGGATTAAATGACAACAATTGAATTTCGTGAGCATCAAGCGATTTCACGTCAACAACAAGTTTATTTCAACAATAATGTGGAGATGTACTTATATTAATGTTTAAAATGCTCGCGTTAAAAAATTATTTGATGCAAGACATTACGAATCAAACTGATCAAGGAACTATGCGAAGTTCGAATACAACATCTTTTATTTCAGGCTAGTGTATGCCATTTACATAAGTTTGATGATCGCCAATGTAACATGCATCCCGGGGCTTATCCTTGAATGCCTTCCTTTCAAATATTGTGCCATTTTGAGTATCCCGCGAGGCCGTTGTGATCTTCTTGTTGATCTGAAGCGACATTCCAAGCTGATCTTGGGCTGGATTGTTGATAGAGTGTAGAGTACAATGCCTAACCTCCTTCGCACGCCAAACAACTTTAACGAAACCGTCATGTTGTGAAAAGTCTATCCCACAGCGATAATCGGGAAAGACAAATTGACCCCCGTCTAATTCCGGGGGACCATTTGAGTTGGAAGGTGACCAATCGTTTTTGTTAACGGGAACAAATAAGCCAAATGCAAAATCGGACAGATCTTCTTCGTCCCGATGAGGTGCATTGAAGAATCGATCAGTTGTGAACGTTAAGTTTGGTGAGCAGTCATCATCTTTAATTGGCATATTGAAGGCAAGATGGCCTATCGATGGGATTGAATAGTCGTTCATCAGTTCTTGGTTGTTCGCGAATGCCACATTTGCAAGACGTCTGAAGAGGCGACCTAGAATATTAGATATTTTGCAGGACTTGCGCATGAGGGCATCGTAGGTGCTTGGTGATTTGGCGATAGCTTCTTTGTTTCGATAAAGTCCTAACAATTGAAAGGCAACCATTGCCTTCCGCCAACCAATGGCAAACATCTTTCCTCCCCATGAACGTGTTTCGGAGTCTACAGCGTTGACAAACTGCTTTGCAGCATAGAGGAATCGTGTGACTTGACCTAAATCCTCGAGTCCCGCTCCAGTTAGTTGATCCCAGCGAGTAAACTCGATTAGAGCTATAACCTTTGAATCGTCATCCTTATCATGTATAACGACCTTTCCATGGCTGAAGTACTTGAATCTTTCGGCTGCTTTTTTAGCATATTCGATTTCATCGGGAGTTGGGGGTCGGCCAGGGTTATCACCCAACATGTGTGGGTATAGCTCCAGGGGAATGAAACGTTTCGATGACCAAATGATCTTGTCGATCGATTCATTTTGGCATCCATTCTGACGATCGTTTAATGCGTTGGCCATACCGTGATGCGTTTGAGGTGGGGATTTGGGGACTAAGTTTGGTTTGTCACTTCGGTCCGTGTCATCGACCGTTAAAGATAACTCGCTCGTCCGTTGGTCTGCATGTCTTTTGGACCGGTTTTTTCTTTTCCTCTCGGCCAAATATGCCTTTCGATTTGCCGTCATAACCTCAAGGCGCGAAAAGTATTCTACTATCACACTCAAGATGAAACTAAGGTCTACAATTTGGCAAAAATGGAACTGTCGAGATATAAGAAGATGGTTCCTAATGCCTTGGCTTGCAGCTACAGAGGAGGAGGAGGTCAGACAGTGGCTTGGGCATGTACGTCTGACCATTAAACTCAAGCAAACACTTACACCGATTCCTGGAATGCAGCGATTGTAGCGTGGTTGCGAGTATCCGATGAGCGTCTCCTTAGTATTGTTCAGGTGTATTGAGCTAGACCCAGCGAGGGGAGTAATTACCATCGGAAGAACACACATGACTTTCCATCATCTACATGAGATTAGGTAACAATTGAAGAACTTACCAGTTAAACAACAATGGAAAACTGTTGAGGCGATAGAACTTAATCGCGACACTCTCTTTGCAGGCTGAGAGACGGACCTTTAAGATAATGAAGGAGATTAGGCAGGTGAGCGAGGGAGACAGCGCAAGAGATATTGGTCGCTTGCGAGCCGCGTTGCTAGGTGATTCTGGTATTGACGGGTAATTTGTATGACGGGATGTGGAGACGCGACGAATTGGCATGTAGAGCTTGACGGGTGGAAGACAGGGTGAGTCACCCTGGTATCTTGCGCTCGGAAGAATTGATCACACCGACAAGGGTGGGTTGTACGGCCTCGGGTTCCTCAGCGTGTTGGATGAGCTAATCTGATTAGTTTTTGACTTGCTAGGTATTTATGGATGAAGGCATCGGCGGCGGATTTGATCAAAGTTAGCATCATAGTAGTCCGTTGCCAATTCCTCACAATAGAACTAATGGGGGAAGCACTGACGAGATGGTGAGCGATAGACCTCTTCACTAACTTGGTGTCAAGCGCGACTATTCTTAAGCTTAGCCTGCAGTGTTATATGCGAAGTCGCTTGTTTAGGCCTAAGGGTCGGCGGGTCTCGATTGAAGAGTAGGACGAATAGCAATAGTAACAACTGCTAATCATTAGCAGACTGAAGGGAACGAGTAGCTTTGTTAACGATGATAATACGAATGACATACAAGTTGGTCGCAAAACGAAGGTCCGTCAAGCTCTCCAAATCAAACCGAGTGTTCGTTGAGATGTGCGCGTGAGGTCGAGAGTCGAATAAGGTAACACAGGCGGGGGTGAAGCGAGACTGAGGGCTGGATGTTGTCCAATAAGTCGGAGACGAGGATGACTCGGTTGGGCAACTGAGGGAGTGCTCTATCTCCGAGTTTTATGATACTGGTTGTGAAATCAAACATGTCACACAACGGTCATTTGGCTGTCGCATTCGTGTGATGGGACAGCCGTCGTGTTAACTGGGTGCCACTTGCGTGCAACAAGAACTCCCAAACCAGTTGTTTCGAAGACGTAGAGTTGGATGAACCGTGGGCCAAAGAACCCCCGTGGTGAGATGCCAACGGATTATCTGGTTAAGTTGTCCCAAGGCCCCCATCTTCCTCGTCGAAGAGAAAAAGTCGGAATAGTTCTCATGTTGGTCTTTGGTGATGGGAGAAGATGTGGAGAGTTCAGGATGCCGAGTCAAGCGAATTGATCAATTCGTGCGCCCTTCGTTGAAATTCGGCAGGACCGAGATGAGTTCACAGGCATCGGCATTGGTGAGATAGGTGGGCGATCTGAAAAGTTTGGGGTCACCGAATGAGCTGAGATGGCTGAGGTAGAGACAGGTGCTGGAGATGATTCCTTGGGCTGGCGGATATCCATCCAGGAGCCTTTGTGATCGATGCAGGGTAGTGGGGACTCGCGGAGTGTCGCCGGAAAGTTCTCCTTCTTGATCGCCATCGGCTTCATTGATGACTACCTCTGTCCGGTCTCGAATGGGAGTGTGTAGTTGTACTCTCATGGATGGCCGTTCAGGTTGGTGGATGAGGGTAAGTGGGCACAATGGCTGTTCAGCCTAATGATGACCCGATCAGACCACTTATTGGGGGACAACACTCATCGATAACCAGTCGGAAAGTCAGGTCGCAATTAGTGCTGATGCTTCAGGCAACCCATCTGAATCATCATAGGTCATCAGATATGTATCCAAGCACAACACTGGGGAAACTCTCGCTTGAAGGAAAACTCATGTTCTTGTCAATAGCATCTGGTCACCTTTGATTGATGTTGCATCTTGGGCTCATGTTTTGTTTATGAGATGTGTGAGGGTTTCCACTGAGTTGGATTGACTGGTGTTTTCACACCAAATCAGGCTTAGATGAATTGAACGGGCAAGGAATATGTACATGAAATTAAACGCAACAGCAATTGTTTATCACAAATAGTTGGATGGTGTGGATGAAACGTGTGACAGAGAGTGGGTCGAGGAGAGGAGTTGACTACGGATGGGTAGTGGTACAAGGGACCATATGGTTGTGAATCGCGAAGCCTTATCTGAACCTATCAGTGCTTTTTCATGCGCTTAAGGGCCTCTTGGATAATAGTTTTACGTGGGCAGCCACGCTTGGCTTTTATGTTTGGGCCTGCTTCGGTGTCGACTTCAGACTCTTCGTCGGAGTTGTCATTGGAACCATCATCGTCGTCGGTCTCGGATTCGTCGACTGCTTTAGCCTTGCCTTTATTGTCTTTGTCAAGGGTTTGTTTTGGTGGGGGTCCATTGGTAACAGAAGGTATTTGGGTGGCAGGTGATTTAGTGAGTTTGGGTTTTGGTAAACTGGCCGTAGTTGGGCTGGATGGCGACAGTCCTGCCTTAGGCAAGAACTTCGTGCTTTTGGTAGGTGTCAGCATTATGTGGTTACAATTATTGATGGGATAGTTTGACTCTTACAATTTTCTCCCTTGTATAGGACTACAGTCGGTTGAACCTTGGGGACTTTGGTTGAGACGACCTATTTGATGCCCCGACGTAATTGATACGGAGGAAACCTGGAGTGCACTGGTTAGCAGTAATCTAAATAAGAGGATGAAAACTACATACTACGACGACAGCAATGTTCTCATCCATATGAAAATCAACCAATCGGCCAATGATATAGACCTCTCGGCCAACTTGATACAACGTGTGAGTTTTGACAAGGTTCTTTGTGCCAGGTACGATGTATTTGATATTGAATCGGCGATGAACCCGGTCCTATAGAGAAGAGGTGTAAGTGGTTGGGGAGAATTATAATGGTGATGGGATTTGACTCACCTCGCCATCCCAATCACAATGGGCAATGATGACTTCCAATTGAGTGGCACTGTCAGAAGTCTGGGTAGCGACTTCCCGGCGCGAGACAACCATTCCGAGACTCGTGACGACTGTTTTGTTGGTGAAGTCTGGTTGATTGGGGCCTGGCGTGCCGATACGGATAACAGTTTCTTGAATGTAAGATAACACTGGAGTTGATCCGTTGTTGAGAGCTATAAACTTGCCGCTTAATGCGTAGATTGATTCACTGTTGAGGGTGTTGTTCAGTGCTGTGTTCGTGATGAGTTGAACTTCAAAATCCTCATTCTTGTCACCGTTGCTGCCAGCGCATTGTAAAAAACTGGGTGTTTTGACATAACCATATTGATTGGCACGAACGGAATCTGCAACAGACTATGGTGGGGGCTTATTAGTAAGATTTTACAGTTGGGAGTTCTGGATACTAACCTCGGAGATGGGTTGGAAATGTCCATTGAAAAAGGCTGGATGGTTGGGGGCTCGTGTAGCTGCCATTCTGACTATGTCTATGTTAGGTGAGGGGTTGAGAGAAAAGTTTAGTAATGAATTAGCTGGAAGTAGTGACAATTGGGCATACCCTACTACGATCTTGCAACCAGTGCTAATCTTGGGTGGTGGTGAGGGGAGAGAGTGGTGAAGTGGTGGGGGAGTATGCTGACAGGTTTGAGATTGCTGGGGCTCTGAGGACGATGGGTGAGAAGATGGGGGTGTCGAGGAGGTGTGGGATGGGCGATGGTTAAATAACATGTTTCGTGCTGGGCTGTTGGTGGGTTTGGGGAGGAGGTACTGAGTATAGTTGGTTGAACTGTCGGACTGGGTTCTGAGACAGCGGTGATGCCTTGGTGGACGTTGAGTGTTGATATTGCGCGGTTGGATTGCGGTGGTGAAGGCGCCTGAAAGATTAAGGGTTGGCGTGCATAGAGTTTCATTGGTGACAAAGTTAGCTGGTTGGTGTTTGAGTTGGGGTTGGGCAAGCCTGGTAGCCAAGGGCAGCAGTCATGATGGCGGTAGCTGCCTGGGATGATGGGAGCCTGGTTGTGCCTGGGGTTTTACAGGTCTGGGGCCTCGGACCCTGAAGTAGAGGGGGTATGGGATGCTCGTATATGGTGCGGTTGTGTTGAGAGGGTGGCTGTTGATAGGGGACTGGTCTAGTTTGCGACAAGTGGAAATGGTGGGCTGGGGACTGGTGGTAGCCTGGCAGGGGCAATGAGAATCGATGAGCATGAGTGAGGGTTACCAATAGGTCGTTTTGATTCGAGGGTTCTTTTGGTCACTGGTAGCTAAGGGTCGGGTGGAGAATTTTGGTCGGGGAGAAGGGATGGTTCAGGCAGGTGAGGTGGAGTGGGGATTGCATTTACCTCGGGTATAAAGGTAACCGCATTTGTGATGATTTTGGTGGAGGGGGCTCCTGTGTGGCTTTTTGGTCAGAGGACTCCTACCCCCCGCTTTCCCACTTGGGCAGTTTGGGGGTCAACGCGCTGGCCCCCCACTTGCGTGTGTCACTTGATGCTGCTGGGGGCCTTCATGTCCAGTGTTTTTGACCTATGCTCTGACATAGGCTGGACACTGAGCCCAAGTGCTTCAGCTGTGCTGAGGTTGGGGGGCTGGGACGTGTTTCTTGATTGATTTCACAGTCTGTTTAGATCCAGGATGGGTGATGGGGAGACCTCTGATGGTGTTTCCATGATATTGTAAAGGGTAAACCCTTGAAGTTTTTTTGGGGCCCCACTCAAGAGGCCTCTAATGGTGTTGCTATGAAATTGTGAAGGGGGAAACCCTTGAATTTTTTTTGTACAAATCACTGGATTTAATATACTTGGATAAATGAACTGTTGAGTTTTAAGAAAATTGTGGGAATAAATTTGAAATATCAAAAAATAATGAAAATTAAGCTGTAAAAAATGAAGTGAAAAAAGTGTGTAATTTGAGTATTAAAAGTGAACCGTCAAGTTTTAAAGAAATTGGATTGCAGCATTAAATTCTGCGCACATTAAAACCTAGGAAATAAATTTAAACTTTCAAAAAATCATAAAAAATAAGGTACATACATGTATTCAAACAATTAATTGAGAAATGAGTGAAAAAAAAAAATTAGTAATCAAAAATCATTTTTACGGAAAATGGTTTTTACCATTAAATTCTACACCTTTTAAAGTTTAGGAAACAACTTTAAAAATCCAAAAAAACTTGAAAAATAATCCATAAAAAATTAAATACAAAACCGTGTTTAAACGCGGAAACCGTGTGTGCTGTGCCGCAGCAAAACCGCGTGTAAACGCGGAAAAACCGTGTTTTATTATTAAGGCCCTAAAGAATTAATTAAAAAACCGTGTGTAAACGCAGAAACCGCGTGTGCTGTGCCGCAGCAAAACCGTGTGTAAATGCGGAAAACCCGTGTTTTTTTTATTAATGCCCTTGATTTACTAGGAAAAGTTCTATGTTTTAAATAGAATATTTACAGAGTGATGAAACTGTGGTTGAGAGATTTGAATATGCAAAATAATAACAAACCTAGAGTAGAAAGTTAACAATCTCAAGAAGACAAGTGTCACTAAACTAGCTGATAAGTCATACTAACCAGGGTTCTTTGACTACAAGGATGTTGATCAGACAAGCATAATTTTAGATGAAAAACAGGCTGTAATGATTAATTATTGAAAACATGAGAGGAGAAATAAAACAAGTGTAATTTTTTTTTTTTTGGAATGAGTAACAATGAGATCAAAATTCCAACAAGTATCAGAATGACAAATAAGATTGGAGTTGCAGATGGAGGAAGTTTGTGAGTACAGTTGTTCAAAGATTAAAACTCTTTATTGGAGGACTTCCCGTTGGATCTAGGACCCTTGCAGATGTTGATTTAGACCCAAGAAGTCTAGAATTTTGCTGGGAAATCTAGCTTTTGAGGCCTCTAAATTGCTTCTGGGAGACCCACAGATTTGAGGGGAAGTTGTCCATTAACCTCACAAGATCAGCACTCCTAAAGCAAAAAATAGGATGGTGTTGTTTTTGGACTAGACCAGTACTATTTTGTGTCTGCCTAGTATATTGCGCACATGGACCCCAGCACCTTCCCCTTAGTACCTTGGCCAGGTGCCATAGATCCAAGAACCTTACATGAGACTCTTCTCAGTAAAAACAAAAGTGGAATGGACAATGGCCAAAGTTTGTAGTGGCATGTGATGGCCAAGACTTGCCAGCTTGTGGCATGATCAAACCCATCTCCTTTTCAAAGCCCCCCCCCCCCCCCATGCAGGACAGATGTGGCTTCCTGATCTTTCTCTGAACACAAGGTTATATAAAGCTGGAAGTGGATTTTGTTTATCTCAAACAAAAAAGAGGGATCAGGTCTTTTTGTTATGTATAGAGTCAATGTTCCTGCTCAATAACATAATCCAAGCTATCATCCATCATCCGTTCTCGTTTACAAAACGGCATATGTACAAACTTGCAGACAATTGCTTATCGATCAGCAAAAGTCAAGTTAATAATGATAATTGCTTATCAAACTCTGCCGCGAGCACGTTTATATTATGGAGCTCAAGTTGGAGGATGAAGCTGTTTGGATGAAAGCGGCGATAGATACAATCTTAGATAGAATCATAAACACACAACTTGGTTGGTGATCGATGAGCGAGATTCCCGACAGTGATATGAAGAGCTGTTTATATGGATTAGTATGTAGCCGACAGCTGCCGAGTATGATTCTTAGACCCAGAGGTTCTCTGGTTTATATGTTGCAGATGGATCTTCTTATTAGATAACTACTCTTCTTGAGAAGTGATTCCGGCTTCTTTGCAGTTTCTTGAGGGGTGTCCCCGTGGAGCTGCAGGACCAGTTGATAGTCAGCCCATCATCATGAGGGATCAGGGGGTCACAGTCAGACTTGTCATCTTCTGGTTTTTATTATTTGTTTTCGTGAATCGGAGCCGAGTATGTGCCTAGAATTAGGTTCTGTGATGAGCTTCATGCTTGGGTTGGGTGAGTGGGTTGGGTGGATTGGATATTTAAGAAGTGCGAGAGATGATAAATCTGATTTTCTGGGTTGATCATGGTGTATTGGCTGTATGGAGGGAGTGGCTTGATTCGAGTCGGATCGAATCGGATTCCAGTCAATGGCCACCCAAACTCCAGACTATTTCAGGCTCTCTCTTCTCTTGACCGTTTCCTCTTCACCCCCCCACAACAACAACCAAAAAAAAAAAAAAAAAGAAAAAGAAAACAAACAAACAAACAAACATTAATAACACTTTCATAAATAAAAGATGAACAATCAGCAGATATCCAACTACCCCCCTCCTGCCCGACACCATCCAACTGACTCACAAACACCCACAAGCGAGTACTCATCCCCCTTGCCTCGCTACACCTCACCACTCAACCCAAACCCAACCCACAACAACCTCAACAACCGAAACAGACAACCAAACCAACACCATCAACAACAACATCCAGAACAACAACAACACTACCAACAACAGCAACAACAACAACAGTACCAACAGCGTCCCTACAACAACAACATGAACCATCATCCCCAACAGCAGTTCAACAACCCTCCCCATCCTCTCAGCAACCCCACCTACCTCGACTCATCCCCAACACTCTCAACCGAGCCGCAGACACTCTCCGGATCATCGCCGCAAACCCCATCGGCCCAATCCCTCGAGAAATCTGCCTCGCCGATCGACCCACACCATCACCAAAACAACCTCTACCAACAGGCACCCACCTCGGCCTCACCCGAGCTCAACCTCTCCTCCCGTCCATCCAGCTTCATCGCCCGTCGCGAGATCGTCCACCATTCCCCCCTCGATAAGCTCCATCGAGCCTGGACTGGCGCCGCTATCGGCGACTCCGGCATCGACGATCGTCATGTCAAGAAGAAACGGCTCGGATACCTCGATGGCCTCAAGTTCTTTGCCGCCGTCATCGTCATGAACGGCACCCTCTTCGATGCAGTCTTGACCGAGAACGACTATAAGCCCCTCCAACGAGGCTCACCCCTCTACATCTTCCGGTGTGTTTCCTGTTTCTCTCTCTCTCTCTCTCTCTCTCTCTCTCTCTCTCTCTCTGCTCAACAGATCTGATTATTAACCAAAACCCCCCACAAACATACAGATCCACCAACCTAGGCATCTCGATGATGTTATTGCTCACAGGGAGATGTTTGATTGCCCCATTATGGGATGCGCCGACTCCGCATGCGAAGCTCTTGATGAAGAACCAGGACCCAAACAAGCCGTTGATCTCCTGGCCCCGTCTCACTCGAGCCATGCTCATCAGACCCTTCAGGTTCCTCCTGCCCGTCATCGCCGTTGCTGCTCTCCAATGGGGGCTTGCCTCCGGTGGCGACGGCAGAGCGACCAGGAACTGCAATAATGCAGGGATGACCGAACCCTACTGGGCTAACATCGACCGCTTTGCAGGCTTCATGACCTTGTTCTTCGACTTGGTTGGTTTTTACCCCCCTCTCTTATCCGCACCTTGCTCATTCTTGATCAACTAACAGGACATTTTTGCCAGTTTACCTACTTTGAAGTCGATACGATCGCCGGAAAAGCTTTCGGTGCGAACTTGTGGACTGTTCCTTGGCTCTTCCAATCTAGCTATGCGGTCTATGTGACCCATTTCATGCTCGGCAACTTACCCTCGAACCGATACTGGGTCTATGGGATTCTGATGGCTTTCAGTTGGACCAGTTTGAATTACTTTGCGGTGAGTGAGAGTTCCGCATCACGCACAGTGGGCGATGAATTTAGGCAAACCGGTCAACTGATTGGTTGGATTTTCCCTTCTTTTATTTTTATTCAGTTACCAATCACCGGTCTGCTCATTGCTGATATGGCTGCCCATGGCCAAATTGCCAAGTTGAGAAAGATGCCGATGATGAGCCGGATCGGGATGCGCTTAGGATTATTGGTGTTAGCACTAGCGACCCAATGGGTACCAATCATCCGGGACAACCTGAACATGGGGATGGCGCAGATCAACGTACAATCCCATGGGGAGCTGACATTTGCCGACTGGATCTTCGTGACAGTGATCTTGTTTATTGTGGAGACCTCGGAGGTCGCCCAGATGATCCTATCGAACGTTGTGTTCAGATTGCTTGGTAAGCTCTCGGCGGGGATCTACCTGCTCGCACCCGCGATCGTCTTCACCATCGTGCCCACGATGGCCCTCAGACTCCACGACACCCAGACCTATCAGGCCGCCGGCGTCCTCGGCATCTCCTGGTGTCTCCTCGTCGGCGCTTGCTTCGGCTCCGCCGTCCTCTTCTATCTCGTTGTCGAATGTCCCTCAAAACTCCTTGGCGAAGTCGTTGTCAACTCGATCGAAAAACTCGGCGTCGATCCCGAATTGGCTAAGCGTGATGCTGAAGACCTCAAGGCTTTGATGGCTGGTGCCAAGTAATCCTTATTGGCTTTTCTCTTCTTTTTTTTGGGGGGGGGTGTCTTTTTTCTTTCAGACTTTGCTCGATTTATCCTTCTTCTCTTTCTCCCTCTTCCTCTTATCAAATTCAACTGGTATGGTAGTAGTTTGCATACAATCAAAAACATAAACCCCCAAAAAAGAAAATTGTTATCTCTCTCTCTCATTTTGACTCGACTTTCTTTTTTCTTTTTCTTTGATTGGTTCTACTAACATCTTGTCCTTTGACTGGACAACTCAAATGATTTCCTGACTTTTACTCTCCATGATCATCAATCAAACAAAAGTGTTTGTTACTTCTTCCTAATTTTCACATTATGATCCATGAGATTGATGATTATTCCTACAGTTTGATCTAACTACTACTACCACTACATTTTTCTCTCTCTCTTTCTTTTGATATTGGTAGTAGGTATATGGACTCTTCCTCACACATCACAAATAATCCTAGGTTTTTTCTTTTCTTTTTTTTCCTTTTTTTTTTCCTAGTGATCAATGTGATCATCATAAACACAATCAAATATAAAGACTTGATAATACAACCAACATTCCAAGTTTTAACTCTTTTGTTTTTTCTTTTTTTTTTTAAAAAAAAAGGAGGATTCCTTCATATCTATCAAAGACTCTTTTTCCTTTGATCACAATCAATCACTTTGATTGTTTGCTTATCTTTCTTCAGCTTTTTTGTCACTCCCCTCCTATCATTAGAAGTAATACAGATACAAACAGGCCAAAATCGAGTGAATTGTCTATCCAAGAAATAAAGCAAGATTCAGATGATTTGTGAGAGCAACTCCAAGTCTTGATGGGGGAATGGAACCTGGGAACAAAGCCCTTGTTTCCACCCCCTTGGGCTGCAAAACCCATGGCCCATCTGGGCGTACAACTGGAGAGTCGGATTGACTTGGGATGTGCCAATCGTCCAAGAATTATGTAAGTGTTGTTCTGGACTCCCTCTGGATCCTTCAAGATCCCATCAGCAGCTTTACACTCACACTTGATACACTCCCCTGGTGGAGTGGCTCTGGTCTCATCATATCCAATCTCTCTCTCTCTCTCTCATCCACCCATTAAAAAGACAGGCTCCTGTTTTGTTTGTTTGTTTGGACTGTGTTTTGGTGTGGTTGATTCAAGAAGCTAATTGACACCAATGTCTGAACAACATGTCTTTTTTTTTGGGGGGGAGGGGGGTGCACATCTATTGCGATATCTAGCCAGGAAGAAGCGTGTGTGGTAGGACGGGACAGTTGCAGGGTGTCCACCCCACAGATTATGTAGATGAAAAAACTCAAAGAGTGCTTCTGGAGCAAGGGGTCATGGAAAGAGCATCTTTGATGAGGTGCCACCCTGGTTTCAAAAAAGAGCTGCTTGCTGTTGGAATTTCACTTGTTTTCTCTCTCTCTCTCTTCTCTCATTTCGCAAGAATGACATTCTTTTCCTTCTCATTAGTATTCAATATGAATCTCATTTCTATCCATAATGAATTGATTCCTGCTCCCACAACTTGATCATTTTGTATCTAGATTACTTCAAGACCTCTACTAGAGAATTCTGAGGAATTAAAATTCTTGGTTTGTTACACTTTTTGGATTGTTCCTGAGGGAGCACTTGAGCCCTCCTTCAGTATTGTCTGGGAGCACTTAGAGCCCTTCCGGCAAAATTCATAAAAGAAAAAAAAATCATTTTCTTAGGCCTTTTTGTTACAAATTCTTCACTTGCTTTGGCAGGCTGTGCCCCTTGGTTGCCCACAGAGAGCTGTTTTTTTGGTAAAAGGTGCCACCAGGGTTCAAAAATGTGTCTCTTGAGTGAGGTCCCCTGGTAGCCTGCAAGTCTCCTGATAAAAGCCTCTTGTGCAAGATGCCACAATTTACAAGTCACAAAAATTGTCCCTTGGAAACGGACAAGATGTCCCCTTCCCCTGCTCTAATTCCATCTATGATTGTCTCAAGAAATAGTCTGCCTTTAATTTGCACACCAAAGGTTTCCCCAATGCACACCAAAAAAAAAAGATGTGCACTCCAAGGATATTTGAAGCAAACTACAGTACCACCCACTCCAGATCTTTCTTGGAGGGTACATCAAAGGTGGAAAGAAATATTGACTTTTAGAGGACATGGTTATATCCTCCCAAAGAATCTGGAGTGCACAGATTTGGACTCCTACAAATCTTGAATTTTCTGACTTGCCAGGTATATCTAGGCGTGCAAATCCTGTTGACTCCAAAATAGTTGAAGGGCACAGATTTTCACTCGAAAAATCGGAAGTGTTTTCCCAGACCACCAAGAATATGTCACCGCCCATTCATGGCACTCTCCAGAAACAACAGAGATTGTTAATAAGGGCCTCGTCAAGACAACAGCCAGGCAGAGAGTTACTTTCTTGGAATGCACACCAACCCGGCTAGAGACAGTCAGGCGCTTCTTGTGTGATACCCAGTCTATAGGGGCCCAAGAGAACACCCCAGGTTTTTGGAATGCAGTTTTGTGTACTCCAAATAATTTGGAGCGAGCAGGATTTGCACCCCTATAGGAATGCCTGAGAAGTAGAAACACTGGAGTGGCACGACAAGATATACAGGAGTGCAAAGTGTTGTGACCTGGTTCACAGAGTGTGACTCGGCTGCGGCTCAGCCAGCCGCAGGAGACTACATCTGTCTCCTCCGGGCCATACTTACCGTAATCCACACCGATTACCGACTCCACGCTCCTACACAAAGCTATGCACTCCAGATTAGAGCATCTGCATCGGTTGAGCTAAAACCGAGCAAGTTTTGACTCAAAGCTATAGTTAAACTACAATAGCAACCACCTGTCAGCCACATCGGTGTGGCTTGAGACAGTGTAGCTTGAAGTTGAAGTGTGTATTTTCGCGCGAGGGTGCTGAATTGAAGTGTTGGCACGGGTTAGCTTTTAGCTAGCTCGAAAGCTAACCATTGCTACATGTAGCAAGGGTTAGCTGAAAATCTAGCTGATAGCCAGGTTAGCTCGATGTTAGCTTAACCCGGTGTGGTTGACATTGGTGGCTAAAGTCCTTAGCTCAAGCGGAAATAGCCAACCGATGCAGATGCTCTTATTCAACCATTTACTCCAACCCCATCGAGTTTTGCCCCTATTGGTGTGCACTCCAAGAAGCTCTGGATTGTGCAATAGTGCACTCCAAGAATACTTTCTAGACTGATGAAGTGATCATACCCACTACTTACGCTCTTCAACAAGGGACCATACCTTGAATTGACAGTTTAAGCACTTCATGCAAGGAGCACCCACACCAAGGGAATGAAAGTGTGTGTTGAATACCTGGGCTGATGATTGAGAAAAAGGGACAGTTGACTGCAGTTGGAGATAACTGGGTGGGTGGGGGGAATTGGACGTACTTCAGATGGATGTGTTGGTTGGTGAGATACAACTAAACAGAGGCCCAATTCATCAGTGCCACACCAGTCGAAAGCCGGCAGTGAGAAACTGATGGAACATGTGCTAGCTCTGGCGGTACACAGGGGATGGGCAGGACTACGGGTATACCGGGAGGCAAAGCATCCTCGTATGTGCAAGGTGGCCCGGTAGCCAAAATCAGAGCCTCTTTGGCGAGGTCCGACGGTTCGCGAAAAGAGCCTCTTCCGTCTGCAGCTGCCCGGTCGGCAGGAGTGAAGACAGCCTCTTTGGCGGGGTGGCCTCATCAGCCTATCAGGTGCCACCGGCCGCCGCAAAGACAGCCTCGTTGGCGAGGTTCGGCGACCGGATGCCAGAAAGAGCTTGTTTGGCAATGCGCCCCTGGTCCCCAAACATCCATCTTTCGCGAGGTACTGATCCCCTTCTAGTTTTTTTCGGCGAGGTGCCGCCGGGTCGCCTCACATAGCTTCGTTTGCGAGCTGCAATCTCTCACTCGCAGACCTCAAGTTCTCAACTGCCACTAATCTTACAAATTTGCATCGAGAGGCATTGCCGCGATGGATCCGAAGCTGCAAACAAACGAAATGACCCATTCATACAGAGCACGAAGACCTGCAAGAGCGTCCGAAACAAAAACATACATACCCAAGGACCAAGCCACTTGAGCTCCGATAACAAGCTTTACAAACACCACCACCATACTGAACTACATTTTTTTTTTCCCCCATAGCTTTCACAAACAAGACCTTGATAAAGAGAGAAGGGAGTACATAGTTAGACATACAGTTTTTTTTTGCAGAGAGAGAGAGAAGAGAGAACGAAGTGAAAGAGATGCATAGGGGAGGACAGATGGAACAATTTTTGTTCAGAAAATGAAAAAATGGCTGCATATGGTGCTTGGTTTGGAAGAGAGAATGGATTCAAACAGATTGCTTGACCAATACACGTACTATACATAGATGAACAGATGTTTTTTTTTGAGGGGTTGGCTACTTATACACTACTTTGACAATGTCCAAAAAAGAGAGAAGGGCGTGGGGATGCTGAGGGAACGAGATCTGATACTGATGATGCCTAGTGAAGAGATATGAGATAGGTGGACTAGGGTCACGGGGTTTAGACCATGTTTTTCTCCCTCATGTCGTTGTAATGCTGATCAGACGAGTGGAAAAGATTCCCAAGGGTCAGTTGGAAAGAATCGCTCTTTGGATTCCTGAGATGATTTGCTGACCTTGTGTTGATCGGCACCGCCAACGATGTCCGAGGTGAACCCGTTCGATTGGTCCGGACGCATCGACCCGACGTTGTAGCCAGTCTGAGAAAGCTCGGGGTCACTGGACATCAAGTTAGCGCTGAGAGTGGCGGTTGTGCAGACTCGGATACCGTCTGGTGCATCGTACATCTAAAAACATCATATGTTATTCTTATTTAGTTGATCCTCTGTTAAACAAGGTGGGTATCGGCCCCGAGAGCGAAGAAAGATCTCTTACGGCGTTTGCCTTTTCGTTGGATAAGGACTCGGTCTGGAGGTGGCTGGGTGCCAGTGTGCATGAAAGTTTAGATGCTTCGGTATTCCCAGGTCCGTTTCTCGGTGCGGAGGTGTGGATAGTTCTGGAACCACCGAATTCCTCGGCGAGCTTCTCTCTCGAGTTCAGGGTGACCAACTACGGAGAGCAATGGTTAATAATCTGTCGCTCATGTCTAGGAATGCTTTGAGGGTTGGAAGGGAGACTCACAAATGAGTTGATGTACAGCTTAACGAGGCACAAATGAGGTCCGACGTGCGAAGCATCCCTGAGGTTTTTCAGACATAGATTGTGCTCAGCTCACAAGACTTGGTCGTTTCTTTCAGAGCAAGAGGAAAGGCATACTTGAAAGCTGCAAAAAGAACCAAATCTAACACGGCGACTGTGAAAGTAAGGCCATTGGTTTCGATGGTCAGAGATATCAGGCGATCGATACTGCGGGATCCAAGACGGTTCAAATCAGCCGGAGTGCTGGTGTAGTACTAGAAGTAAAAGAGGAGAAACGGAAAGACAAACGCACATGTTATTGGTTCGGCGAATTCCACGCTTTGAGCTCAACAAGATCCAAACCAAACTAGCGGTGATGACTAAGTCGGTAGCGGCGGCGCCTCCGAGCCAACAAGCAACCCCGTAGGTCCACACTTGGAATCCTTGGAAGTACTGGATCTGGAAAACTTTGGCGGTGGCTCCCTGTAGGTAGCGGCGGATTTGGATGAAGATGTCAGTGCGAATCTTTTTGAACAGATCAGGAACCAAGGCTCAAGGTTGTTGACTCACGGAGGCCCAGACCAATTGGAAGAATGCCCCGAAAGCGATGAATCCAGGAATCACCATCCGTTGGTTGGAAAGTAGATAAACCCTGTGGGGGTAAAAACCGAAACAAATCAGACGGAGCGATTCGATAAATTTCGAGGTCATTGAACATGCTCCTTACCGATGGGCATAGAAGATTTGGACAACGCTGTGGGAGGAGGAAAGGAGAGGAGAAATTTTCAAAAAAAAAAAAGAGTGGAAAATGAGCTGGGGCACAGATGATTCAGACCAGAGGATAGGGGGATGACTCACAAGGCAGCTAGTCCGCACATCACCGGACTCATGGCGAACGACCACGGCGCCTTGACCACTGCCGTAGGATCTCCGTAATGAGCAACAAACCATTGCCAACTGGGATGCGAATTCGCGCAAAGTCAAGATAATTGGAACGTGGAGCAGAGGTGCAGTACAGGCTACGAGCCCCTTCACGAGTGGACAAAGACTGACAGTGTGACTTGACTGAAGGCAGTGTGCAGTACGTCCAGAATGAACAGTCCAATAACCGAGTAGCGGTGAATGGGCCGATCGGTTTTGAAGTTTGAGAAGTAGGTCTACAGGATCGAAGCAGGTCAGTATGAACGCCAAGGAAACCTGGAGAAATTGAGTGCTACTCACGTAAACTTGAGCCAGTGTGATACCGAACAAAAATGTCTGAAGCAATCATGGTAAACAGCGCCGTTTTGTTTTAATATTTAATGCTCCTTGGAGTGCTCTATCGAAAGACTACTTACGCTGACGGCGGTTCCGACCACGAAAGGTCCTGTGAGGCCTTCGAGAGCTTTGGCCATTGAGACCGGTGCTTGTGCCATGCTGATTGATTTAGATGTTTCTTAACTGAGAGGCGGGAGAGGAGGAGAACTGATAGATGGCAGGGACTGCTTTAAACTTTGGGGGTTGATTATAATAATCTTCTTTGTGTGCGCGCGGATAAGAATGTGGTCTGGTATTTTTAGTGAGGAGGGCTGCTGGCTTTGGTGATAGTAGGAGGACTGAAGGAGGGATATCGGAGCTTGTTTTGAGTCAGAGGGATGCAGGTTCAAGTAATGAGTGACTGTTGTTCCTCTGCCGATGCTGATGAGAAGGCGTCTCCTTTTATTCCAGCATCCCGGAGCGGCGGCTCTACAAATCTGAGCCATCTTAATGATGATGAGCTTCGAGCTCCACCATCACTCTGTCCTGCTGAGTCGAGTCCAAAGCTTCAGAGGAACCATTGAAAAGCTTCAGTTCAGTTTTATTACGACCGACCTATTCGTACCTGTGGCCTGCATACATCCCTCTTCTTGTTTATGAGCAGAGTCCAGCATCTCTAGTCCGGGGTCAATGTCAGTATCAACAGCTTCTGGGGGTCTGTGTGCCAGACTCAGAGGCAGGAGGAATCTCAGGATTACAGATTTGAACAGAGAGGGTATTTAGATCAGAATCCGGCTGTATTTCTCTCGCAATGTCTCTTGCTCCAATCGATTCATTTAAGCCAAGGTCTGAGGTCCCCCCCCCAATGAAGAGTAATCCTGCGAATGAGCTCTCGGCCAACATTTAAACACCTTTCGATCGCCTCAAAGCGCCCTCGACTGAGTTCGTAGCATAAACTACCCATGATCACATCCATCTCAAAGCTGATGAAAGGTAATAAGTCAAAAAAAGGGCCAGTCTTTTAACATTGTGTATCCGCTATAAGGCTTCTTGGTCGATGGCGGTTAATCCCGCCAGCTTGAATCGGGCTCGGTTAGTGGACTGCTCCCTTCAACTCTCTGTTTATGGTGGCCGAAAAGAATATCCGCTCGGGGCGCAATGAAGAGAAAAAAGCCGAGATTGTTTCTATTGTTTTTTTTTCTTCCTATTGATTGATGGCCAGAGAGACCGCGCTCGAACAGGATTCGATGAGCATACCGAATCGGCCCGCCATTGTTTGCTTAAAGTTAAGGGAGCATTCTCAACTAGATGTTGGTACCGGCATCCGGCCTACAAACTGGAAACTTATAAACGCACCGGTTGCCGGGCGCCACCTTCAAGAAAAAGGGCGCGAATATGGAGGCTGCCGGCATGTCAGATGGCCCCTGCTAACTTCAGAGGCACTGCACATATGATAAACTGTTCATGTTCCATGTTATGGAGCATGCGATAATCAATGTGGGGCCGGATGGTAAAGATCCATTCGTGATTCACCTCGGAACATGGTCTTTCTGTTGCGGAGGACTGGCTCCCTTGAATCACATGTGTAGTCTCTTGCACTCTTAGTTTATTCATTCCCACCATGCGAATGGGACACTTCTTTATCTGGGAGGAGTGCCCAAATGCGCACATCCAAAAAAAAAAAAAAATCTACTGCATGCAGCTCACCACACGCACCACAACAGGCCCTCCTTGAAAGCTTCTTATAGCTTATTTAGAGCGTTCAAAACTTCAGCTTACCTGGTTCTGTCCCGGTTGAGCTAGAAAACCCATGAGGTTTTGGGTGTGTTTGGCTGGGTAGACCAACTCTCTGGTATGCTGCGCTACATAGGTAGACGATGTATTTCCATAAGAAAATTACATAGAAGAAGGGGGAAAAAAAATACGGAGATTGCGTCTAGACTTCTAAATGAGAGAAACCAATAACTTAACGAAACATGATGGAAAAAAACTTTAAACGGCATGATTGAGATCATGGTTGATGACGACATTATCGATCAAGCGTACCAGTCTACCGGAGCTACAATCGACCAACATAGCGCCAGAGATTGCGATCGGAAAGTGAGGATGGACTTTAGTGCCGGAAGGGATTTCGTTGAAAGTAATAGGGTCGTTGATCGATACGAAATCTAATGAGAACGATGGGTGTGGGGGATCGAAGGAGTTGGCGAGTTCTTCGAGGGTGGGAATGTGTCCTGATGCGAGGACTTTCTGGGCAGATTGATGAAGGAAAGTGAATAAGGCATTTGCAAGCTTAGCTTCACTGGGAGAAAGATATGCATTGCGACTGCTCAAGGCCAGGCCTGTTGAGCTGTCTCTGACGGTGGGTGCAGCGACGATAGCTCTGGGTCGAATCAGGTGAAGATCTTTGCACAGTTGGCGAACCAGCAGACATTGTTGGAGGTCTTTTTGGCCGAAGAATCCGAGGGTGGGTTCGACGATCATGAACAATTTGAGGACGACTGTGGCTACTCCGCGGAAGAAGCCCGGTCGACGAGCGCCTTCCAATTGTTCCGACAGCCCATGGACTATCACGAATGCTCCACGTTGATCCTTCGGCTCAGCCGCTATCCCCGATGGGTACAAGACTTCGTTGGTTGGAAGGAAGACGGCCGAAACCTTGCGAGCAGACTCCTCCTGAGCTGCAGATGTACTAATCCTGTCGGCCTTTTCAGTCGTACCCGATCCCGTTCGTCCATCGAAGCCGTCGTGCGGGATATCATGAGATCCGGGCTTCACCTGAAGGGCCGACAACTGCTTGAGATCGGATTCTAGGGTAGAGGGGTAACTCGACAAGTCCTCCGTAGGGCCGAATTGGGCTGGATTGAGGAAGATCGAGACGATCGTGTTTTGCTGGGTCGACAGCGAATGTCGAACCAGTTGGAGGTGTCCCTCGTGGAGGGCGCCCATCGTGGGCACAAAGCCGATCGAGCTCGGATCCGGCAGATGGTTCCGCCAATCTCTGACCTCTTCGACTGTCCGGAGTATCGAGAACGGCGTGGAGTGGACCATGGATGTTCGGGCTCTGGTTGGGTGGATTGCTGGAAGAAGCGATCTGGTAAAAAGACGAGTCAGACTAAAACCTCCCACCATCTTCACAGTTTGCTTGTCCAAAATTTCTCAAAGACAGCTCTAAACCACGTAGAATAGAACACAACCCAGATAAACAATTAAAATAACTGAGAAAGCAAGCAACGGAAAGTGGAAGCATCCTATTGGTGAACCGTTTTGGGCTCTTGTTCCTGGAACGTGTCCACTTGGCACAGTCCCCCTCATTCCGATGTCATGACCCACTCTGTGAAATTGTGGACTGTCCTACCACAAGAGCTCCAATTTGATCTACTGCTGGTACATATGTAATTCTGGACTTCCCCACAACTTGTGTGTACAGTATCTTATGGGGCAAAGGCTTTCCTTGTCAATAGGCTTCCTTGCCAATAGGTTTTCCTGTAAAATATGACCAGTTCATGAGCTATGTATACGGGTCACAGCACTGAGCAAAATGTCAGAAATTTAAGTGAGTAGAAACGGTGAATGAGAGTATAAAAAGGAGTAGAAATGCTCATTGAAAAATTATATCCCTTCCAGACAGGTATGGAAAGAGAAACCATCTCAAAATTAAGCAGAATCAGGTCGCCATGGAGTCAGCCTACAAATTCTTGACTTGTGTCTTGAGCCACTGGATCATAATCATGGATCTATCCATTCCCAGAGCAGGTGCCATTTGCCCAAGCAGTGATCAAGATTAGCCAAGTCCTGATAAATACCTTCATCAAGGAGCATTCAGTTTAAGCCCAATACACCTACTTTCTGCTCACGGCAAGTTCTGCTTGGCACATCGTGTTCAAGTCCCCACAGATTCACTAGCCTGATACCTTCAAGCGGAATGTTGTGCAAACGATTAATCATGTAAGAGATTCCATACAACGTAGTCTTAATGATGAGATGCGAGTGTATGAATATGATGAGGAATCACAGATTATATTATATTGGGTATTCGCTTTCATTTTTCTCAAGCTTATTATAAACGACTCAGATACAATGAACATGTAAATAACAGATTTTACCCGCAAAGATACAAATAAGGTAGTTGGACAGCACTTCTTCTGTGGATGTCAGGTTGAAAAAAGATTGTAAACTAGTGTGATGTATAGGATATAAAGACGAGTGTGGTTGGAGAAGTACATGTGTTAATTTGGTAGCCATTTGCGAATTTATCTTTTGGTGTTCGTGGGCTCGTACCAAGGCGTTGGGTCAGTACGAGTGGGACGATTTAATAGATTCATGTCAGGCGAATAAACGGTTAGGGTTGGGTATCGGCCTTCCGAATCCACCTCGGGATTACTGATTGTGGTGTTCGAGAGTCTGATAGGTTGAAGCGATTGATTTGTGAAGGATGTGTCAACGTTTACCGGATTGTTTTGCCGTTGGTGACGAGCCTGTGAGTTGGCACTTGGCACGAGGCTCGAAGATCCACCCCGCTCCGATTCAGTCGGTTCATCGAGATCAATCACCGTTTCTTGGACCACTTCCACTCGGAATGCTGCCGATCTTGTGCCTCCGATACTTAAGCCACTAGTGCTCATACCCATCCCATTTGTCCCGATGACTGCCGTTCCACCGGGGTTCCCAATGTTTAACGAAAACACTGGCACGGAAAGTATACTGCGTGTGGTCTGTTTTGGGGAATTCAATCACGGCACTTAGTAGTATCTTCGACTTGAGAGGATTAAAGCCTGAAAGACTCACCCCAAACAAGAGCACGTCAATAAATCCACCTGGATGAATAGTCGGGTAGATTAGCATGGTTAGACTTGCGATCAAATCAAGCATTCCGAAGCGGATTTGAGATGTGTAGAAAAGGGTTACTGTGAATGCTGACTTAGACAGTACATTGAGCCACAAACGGTGGCAGCTGTTATTCCCCAATCATGACCAGCCAGTGAGGCCAATCTATAGGCTGAGAGTGGCAAGATCATGAAGATGAAGGCGATCGGATACCTAATGAACAGTCAACCCCAAAATCAGTCACTCAATAACTACTACGGATTACCTCAAACACACTCACATCAACATCGCTCTGGCTTTACGTTCCAATTTCTTCCTCAGGTGATCACCCTGCAAGGGGATCACTGGCCCTTCAGTTAGATCAGTATGAACAGTCCCGTTTTTACGTTTTCCACCAATGAACTTCAAACCATGATGAGCTTTCGAATGTCTGAAATGGATTTGTAATCGGAGGAAGAGATGTCCATATAGAGCGATCGAAGCAAAGGCCGAGATAAAGATCCACAGGTAGTGCAAAAATAATCTCAACGGAGAAAAGTGCGCGCTAATCCAACACCAGTCCCCTGAAATAGAAGGTAGGCAGCGAGGGGAAAAAAAAGAACTATAAGTGGCATGACTCGAGTGAATAAAGAAAAGGAGTGTCTTACCTGACCATGTATAGAAAGGATCAGGCCCTGACCAATTGCCCATTAAAGTTGGGGCAGCAAGTCCAAGAACGAAGACTGGAATCCAGATCAATGCTAAACTGGCCCATGTGATCCAGTTGGGTAAATGCCAAGAGAACGTCAAAATTACAAATGTTTGAATCGCTATCATCAAGTTCTTGATTTTCGAGGTTGGTCAATTTTCGGGTTATCGTTTTCACCAATTCACCAGGCGGGATAGAACGAGGTACATATATTTAATATTTTCGATCACTTTTCATCTTGAAGAATAACCGGAGAAAGTCTTGAAGAACTAACTGAGAAAGCGGAAGCTACATCGCCTATTTGTATTAGTACACCTTGAATTGTACAAGTGGTTTGGCAACTTGGGCTGCGACAATTGATATTAGCAACCCAGAAATCTGCAAAAGCAAAACAAATCGGTTAGACTCTGTGCCCCTCGTCGAAGCAGAGCCACATAGCACAAAAAATGAGAAAAACCAGTCTTACAATTCATTCCAAATCCTAATGCTTGAATAAAATCAGCCTTTTATCCAGGTTGCCGAAAAAAACAAAAACAAAATGACCTCACTTAGTTGACGAGTTTGAGGAATCGTTAGAGACGGATTATGTTACGATAGGTCTTTTGCGTCACTTACCAGAACAAGGTTCATAAACATGATCTGAATATTTTCAGATGAGATTTGAAGAAGAAAAAAATGGAGTAACAAATTAGATCGAATCGGAGTCAGTGTTTTTTTTCATGCAAATCTTGAGTTTATGGCTTGACTTAGAGAGACCATAGATAGAAGAAAACGACAACAGACGCCAAATGGGGTTTTGATGAACGAGAGTCGATGTCTAGCCCAATTTTGCAACCAAATTCTTCTCTTGCTGGAGTTGATTTTCTTAATCTGTCGCAACGGTTGATTGTGATTGGATAGTTTGTTGGGGATGCTTGTAGTGCAGGGTTGATGATAGCCAGTCCCATCGTTGACATTGGTGATTCTCAAGCTCGATAAAACATACAAACCAACCACATAAATGAGCAGTAAACTGGTGGCTGCTAAAGATAACTGTGAAAATCAAGCCAAAAAAAAAAAGAATGCTGTCAGTTGTTCATTCTGGCTGCTGATCGGCTAGAGGATGCCCATCGATCGGGAAAAAGATATCTTAATGAAAAAGAATAAAAGTAAGATCGAGATATACCGTTGCTGCCACTGCCACGGTCTTGAGAGATTTCGGTCGATTTGAATTTGAATACCATCCACATGGCCAAGGGAAAAGTACATAAATGCCCACATCGCGTCAAAGAAAAGATCAGTTTAATTCAATCGACGGGACACGATGATAATCCAACTTGTTCGTAGAAAGATAAGGGAAAAACGAACAGCTCTGTGGCTTGGCAAGGACTGTTCTTCAACTATTGACCGCTGTAGGGCCATATCAGTCGACATTGTGCACCCCTGAAGACTGCCCGTATGTATGTACACCAGGTTGGCTGGCAATACAAACTCTGCTACGAGTGAGATGGTCTTCGCTGCCCCTGGCTGCCTACATATGTAGGTTTAAAGTTTACTTGAGTACGTCATCACGTCGGCCGAGAATCTATGCCAACATTCCATCGTCTTCCTCCGCTGCGCAACTGATCGGGATCGCAGCATGAAGAGGCTTTCTCTGCAGGGCTGCATCCACGACATATTTTTGTATGACACCATCGGAGGAGTTCCTGTAGGTTTCACGGCCCCAGTAAAGCTAAATTTAAAGACTGTAGGGCTGAATTTATGCCGGGAAAACAGCACTACAGGGGGCTGTAAAATCAGACAGAAGCCCTACAATTCAGCCCTTTTTTGAAAAAAAGAGAGCAGGAAGATACATTGAATCTGAAAAGGAGATTACATATTGAAAAAACTGGTGCATATTAGGGGAAAAAGGGTTTGCCAAAGAACTCCAATGTTGGGTTGTAATTAATTTTCTTAGCCATTGGCAGTTGAATATTTGGATTTGCTTCATCAGGGTCTTCCACCCCTGTCGACTGCCAACTGGCTATTCAATAGCCCTCGTACACCGAGTACAAAGGCTACACTACGGGTGCTGGGGTTCGAAACATTTCCGAAGTTCGTTCGGAAATGTTTCGAAAGACGCGCCCGCAGGGGGGGATGTCCTGGACCTTGGTCCAGGTACATTTCGCAATGTGCTCCGAAGGGGATGCCGAGAATCTTTCGAAGACCTTTCGATAGTTGTTCGAAATACTTTCGAAAAAGTTGCGGGATGCCATGATTTCAAAGTCGACTCCGAAGCTAGATTTCGAAATCATTCCGAAAGAGTTTCGAAAGATTTTTGTCATGATCAGGGGTGTCTTGAAATTTTTTTGAACGTTTATGATGCCTGGAGTGGCGGATTGTAAATTGCACTTGGTCAAAAAGACCTGTTCCTCTCACTCGCTTGCTGATCCAACACTGTTTCACTGTAGCATACATACATAAATATATGAACTTGTATTTCGACTGAAGAATTACTTGAGTAACCACAATGAAACAAGACAAAAGCAAGTGTAGAGAGAGAGAACAAAACAACAGCAGATAGAAGATGACTAGATAAGACAAAAGATGGCAGGCAACAAGCATAAAACACACAAAAGTAAGCAACATGATGAGGAAACAAGAGCCGAGGAAAAAAGACAAGAAGTGTATAAACGATCAAGCAAGTTTCGTTTAGATCGCTTGCTGGTGTGTTTGCTACTCGGCTGGGTCACTTACTGTTGGAGGATATGTAGTTACGAAAAATAGAGAGGAGATGACTTTAAGTGGGGTTGAGTGTACTTAACCAAAATCACATTGAGGAGAGAGGAAGTCGTCAGAGGGGGAGAGGAGGGGATAATTCAGGATGAAGAAGCAAGAGGCGACCGACACACCTTGCTCAACAATCGAGCGCTTTAAATACCTTTTCAAAAAAAAAAATCACACGGTCTGGTTCCTCCAACCGAAAAAGTTTCAAAGCACTTTCGACACTCTTTCGAACCGGTTGGAGGAACCGAAGCATGGTTCGAAAGTTTTACGAAAGATCCACACCTCCCACCAAAAAACTTCCGGAATAACTTCCGAAGTGTTTTTTTAGAGTTCTGATCCGGCAATATCCGCATAAAACCCGGAATTTGACCGGATCAAAATCATAAGTGGAAGACTTCGAAATAGTTTCGAAATCTTTTTCGCAACTTTCGTAAAAGTTTCGAACTTTTTACGAAAGCCGCTTCGAAATCACCAAGTCCATACATTTCGGACATCGTTTCAAAGCAAAACCTTAAAAGCACCCCCGTAGTGTATACAAGGTCATCTGAGATGACCCTCGCCGTCCCTCGCCCCACTGGCTGAGGATTACATAATCAGCTCGTCCGAACTCGCAAGCAAAGGTCCATTGGCAGAGATTCGCCTGTAACCGGGTACCGCTCCGGCATACAGGGTACCTGCCCCAAGCCCTCTTGTGCTTGATGGCCGTTCTGAACGGCCATCGTTGAGAGTGCAGTCTCCTCGATGACCATTCAGATCGGCATCGCTGAGGCCAAGGGGGCACTCCTCAACAACTGCTCTGAACAACATCAGTGAGGCCGAGGCTACGCTCCTCAACGGCTGTTCTGAATGGCATCGCTGAGGCCAAGGGTACATTCTTCAACCGATGTTCTGAATGGCCCTTCTGGAGAGTGTACTTGCAACAATGGCTGTTCAGAAAAGTCAATCTCACAGAGAGAGTGTCATGGTCTGGTAAACTCCATGACAATGAAGAAAACAATTGATCCTTGACAAAAACCTCAGATAGGTAACCACTTACCCAGATAATTGAAGTATCATCTAATTTGTAACTTCGTATGGGAGAATGGGATCAAGATCATTGCAATAAATCTTTAAACATCAGTAGTAGTAACACTAATTACAAACCAAAAAAACTCAACAAAAGAAATTAAAAGTTATAGAAATAATGATGAGATTTTACCTGCTGAAGTGAAAGACTGGACCAGACAGAATCTAGTAAACATGGTAAACAATGACTAAAGCTGTAACTTGAGCTAGAGAAAAAAGCCCAAATAAATAGGCAGACAATAGGAGAATGAAATACAGATAAAGGAAAACAACTTTGAGGCCAAATGTGTACATCAAATTTCTCCCCCTGAGACGTGATTCTCTTCCTGGTGTTGATACCTGATGGAATTACTGGGCTGACAAATCAAATTGATGAAGGTGAGTTGATCAGTGGCTTCAAGAGACTCAGGTCAAAACTCAAAAGTATCTCTGAACTGTACAGTTAATGTCTTCTTCTCTTGGAAGTGCCTGGTTGTTTTTTGTGATGGAAGCAAAAGCAATGATTGAATGAGATTCAGAAGGAGATTCAGGTTGATGATGTGGAGTTCCACTTATTTCAGCTGTGGGCTACTCTGCAGAAGCTAGAATCAGCTCAATGGAAGTTTACTGGTATGGACCAGTGGCTACAACTCATAGAAGGTATTTACTCTAGTCCAAGGTGTCCACACCCAGCCATTGATATATTTTTGAGAAGTTAAGAATCCTGATTCCAGACAGAAATATGCTGATTTGAGAGGAGAATTTGAATTTAAACATTAATGTCTTGCTATATTTGAATTCCAAGAGGAGTTTTTAAATAAAGTGAGGTTTATTGTTTTGTCCCTTCTAAAATTAATGAAAGAGGAAGAGGGCAAACAAGTGTGAAAATTTGATCTTAATCATCAAGTTGAAAATTGCTAAAAGAGATTTAATGTTAGTGAAGATTCAAATTGGAAACAGGTGAAAGAAATTCACACTGATGAAGATGCATGTTGAACACTAACCCAAAGACCAACAAAGAGAGAAAAAGTTTCAGATGTCTTTGGGTGATCAGTTTGGATATCATGAGATTTTATTTCTTTTGCATGTCAACTTGCTTCAAGTTGTTATAATTTGATCTTGATCAATATTTCAAGTTTAACATTGCTAAATCAAATTTTGAAAGTTGATAAAATTGACTCTTTGTCCATAGGTGAAGTTGGATATTTATAAGAAAAATTGAAAGTTCAAAAAATTAGATTGTAATTGAGATTGCAAGTAGAATACTGATAAAAAGACATTTTAAATTTGGTAACATTCAATCTTGACCAAGATTGAGAGCGAAAATTTCTGCAAAGGAATTTGAAGAACATTGTTAAAAAGACATTCAATGCTAATGAAGAACACATTAATCATTTTGGAAATCATGTATGTAGTTATGTGATGTGTTTCAAATTGCTTCAAATTGACCAATAATGTCTATTACTTACTAAGTGAAATATTTGTAATAAATCAAGCAGTTGGATTATTATAGAACAATATAGAACAAAAACTCTGGGTTTGTTTAAGTATTATAAATCATATAAAACAAAAACTGGGTTGCCCCACATTCAATAATCAGCTTACCCATATCAAAACCAAGGCCCTATTTGGACAGCCCAGATTAAGTGATATTATTTTTGAACATATAACTAGATGTTTGCATGAATTCAATTTCCTTTGAAAATGTGGCTTTGTAACATGATTACATAGGAACTCTGAACTCAGTCTCTATCATTTATCGGCATTTATCTTACACTTTATCAATTTGACACTCAAGGCATTGGAAATATGTAGAATAAATGAAATTCCATGCTCAATGGGAAAGGCAAGTAAGAACTTTACAAATAATAACATATGTTCAGAGAATGAAACATCATTAGGATACAAATTTGAATTGCGAGAGATGCTTGACCCAAATTCCAAAACAACTCTCCTTCAATTTTCAAGTTGGGGGAGGACTCAAATTCTTTTACACATTACTTACTAACCCATTCTCCCTCAGACCTCTTTTGGTTTCCTTGAAATTTCAAACCTTAAACACTCTCATGAAGCTATACTGTCTTATTCTTGCATCTGTTTCCTCTTATTTTTCACCTCTTTCCATCTTCAACACTTTGCTTTTTTTATCTTGAAATTCACAAAAAACTGCCTGCAAAGTTCCTTTTATAACCTGGATAGCAGGGGGTATTATAGCCAACGATTGACACCATTTTACGCTTACCTGATCATTAGAAAACAGCCTGCACCAGAAGCTCTTTGTCTTCTTCACCAACACCGCCATCTAAAAGACCTTCCTGTTCAATGCCTCCTTCTCCGGTATGCGAGTGTCCAATCGGTGTGGGATACTTTATGGGTTCCCATCCAACAACTTCAAAAATTTTATATTTTCTTGTATATACAATAATATTACACCAAATATGGCTCCAGGAAGGGATTCCAGGGCCAAAATCACCCTAGAGGAGCAGGCTTGGACACATGTAACCCCTCTGTGTTGCATGTTACACCCCTCTTTTACTCACAGGTAGGGGGGTCAAGCACCCTTACATGTTACAAGGATTCAGGTACACATTTCACCCCTCCGGGCCATGTGATCTGGCATCTGTACATCTCAATCAAGTACAATGGAAGTATGCAGGCACAGCGTACAGGTTACCTTGGCAACCTGTC